ATCTTTTAATATTTTACTTAGATAATATATGAAACTTAGCGATATATCTTTGTATATATATTTATTGGTTGTTCTAGATATTTTTCTCTCTCCTTACAAATGCTTTCACATATGCTTTCACAGTCTATTAAGAGTTAATGTTGTCACTCATATAAAATATGGAAACCTGGCAACTCGTAGGTCCTTTAACCCCATAGCACTGATTCTTTACATTACAATTGTAATGTGTTATGTGAAGAAATGACAAAAAATATTGTCCCCAAAACCATAGAAACTTTTATTAAACAAATAATATATTTTTTCAATTAAAAGTATTTTTATTTAAAAATACAAGAGTGTGAAGCTACTGTTTCTCAACATATCTTGATCCATGTCCATACACTTCTGAAGGCAGAGTTTCTATTGCTCTAACACTTCTAAGAAATTTGGAAGACTACAACCTGGCCAACCCACTGAAGGAAATTTATATTTGTGCCCTTCCAAAGAAAGGTGACCTAACAAAATTAATTATCAGTGTCATTAATGTCACATGCAAGTAAAACACTGCTGAAGAATGGTTGCAGCAGTGCATCCAGAGGGGGGCTTTCAGAAACGGACCCCACATTCAAAAGAGAACTTAGAATGGAGGATGTCATTACTGGCATCAGATGGATCGTGACTAGAAGCATAGAAGATCAGAGGATGTTTACATGTGTTTGACTGACTATGAAAAGGCCTTCAGAGTGTGGACTGCAACCAACTTGGCATAATATGTGATAAGAAAGGGGCTTCCAGCATATTGAATTGTGCTCATTTAGAACTTGCATGTAGATCAAGAGGCAGCTGTTTGAACTGAATAAGGGGCTACTGACTGTTTTGAAATCAGGAAAAGGGTGTGTCAGGGTTGTATGATGCTTATTCCATCTCTGTGCTGAGCAAATAATCCAAGAAAGTGGATCATATGAAGAACACAGCATGAAGATGGAAGAAGAGCTCACTAACAACCAAGGACACGCAGATGACAGGACTTTCTTACAGACACCGTAGACGATTACAAACACTAATGAAGATCAAAGAGCACAGCCTCCTGTACAGGTTGCACCTCATGTGAACAAAACAGTCCTTAAAACTGGACCATAAGCAACATCATAATAAATGGAGAAAAGATTGAAGATAGCAAAGATTTCATTTTAATAGGATTTATAATCAATACCTCTGGGAGCAGCAAAATCAAAAGCCATATGGCATTGGGCAAATTGACTGCAAAAAGCCTCTTAAAAATGATAAAAAGAAAAGATATTGCTTTGAGGACTAAGGGGTACCTGACCAAAATCAGGGTATTTTTAACCATCTGATGTGTATGACAAAGCTGGTAAATGAATAAGGAAGACAGGGGAAGAATGGATGCATTTTAATTATGATGTTGGACCATGAACATACTATGGACTGCCAGAAGAATGAACATACATGTAGCCAAATTACTCTTTAAAAGTGAAGATGTGGAGACATTGTCTTATGTACTTTGACGATGTTGTCAGGAAGAACTAGTCCGGAGGAGAAGGACATTATGCTTGTTAAAGTAGCAAGTCGATGAAAAAGAGAAAGCCAACAAGATGCATTGACAAAGTGTAACAACCGAGTGTCCAAACCCAGGAGTAGTTGTGGCAGTGATGTATTGTGACCAAGTGGACAGCACCGAGTAACAGCAACCATTTCCTGAAGAATTCTGCACTCTTCACAATACATGCTGTCCAAATCATTGTTTGGCATCCTTCAGGGATTCATGCTCACTTTAAACTGTTTTTGAGCTTTGAGGTCGAAAAGAAGTCTGAAGAGGCAAGATCGGGGCTATAGGGTAGTTGGGCTAAGGTTTCCCAACAACGTTTTCATAGGACAATTCTGGCTACCTTGATGACTGAGCAGGCCTTTTGTGATGGAAACAGTCCTTGGTGTGACTTTCCTGCCCTTTTTCTTATAAGACAGTTTTCTTCCTTATAAGCCCTCCATGATCATTCTGTGTCCTTCGAAAAAGTTCACCTCCTTGCAGCTCCCTCCAAACAGCTCCTATCACCTTCTCATCTGACCCATTAATCTGGAATTTAATGGACTCAACAGAGCACCTTGGGAGGCACTCTTTTGATCAAACCTTTGTGTGTTTTGTTTTGTTTCGAAGATACCCTAATGTATTCCTGAGAGAACTTGTCGGTAGCCATACACTAATGACATGTTCAAATAAGTTTTGTGTAGAGTTAAGCCATGTATTTATGAATTGGAGTACTAGTAAAAATATATAGAAATACTTTTTTGGACTTGCATAGCTTTATACATTGAAATCTCCATTTGCTTTTTTAGTTTAATCAGCAATAAATATTTTAAAGAGCTGCAGAGAAACTAAAAATAGCATTTTATATTTACTTAGATATGCTGGGACATTTTTGATGTTGATTGGGCTTAGCTAAACGACAATGCCAGTTATTTCACCTAATAATGATTTAAGTGCTGTTATGAAGAGATTTTGTAATTGTGACTATAGAACCCAACCATCACAAGTTGCCATTGCTGTGAAGTGCTGTGACTCTGTTCTGCATCACAGCAATCCCATGCACAACAGAAGCAACCATTGCTGGGTCCTGTGCCATCCTCACAGTTGTTGTAATGTCTGAGATCTTCGGACTGGCCCTGGTGTGAATCTACCTGGTAGAGGGTCTATCTCTTTTCCACAGCTCCTCTACTATGCATGATGTGTTTGTCTAGAGACTGGTCTTTCCTGACAACACATCCAAAGTATGAGAGACTTCTCTCCCTCCTTGCTTGTAAAGAGCATTCTGGCTGTCCTTCCAAGCGAGACCTAGTTGTTCTCTTGGCAGTCCATGGTACTTAAGCACCCTACATCAAGTGCATGGATTCTATGGTCTTTTTTACTCAATGTCCAACCTTCATATGCATATGAGGCAATTGACAATGACATGGTTTGGGTCAGATACACTTTAGTCCTCAAAGTAACTCCCTTGTTTTTCAGTGCTCTAAAGAGGTCTTATGCAGCAGATTTAATTACTGCAATGTGTCCTTTGATCTCTTGGCTGCTGCTACCATGAGCATTGATTGTGAATTCAAGCAAGATGAAATCCTTTACAACTTTAATATTTTCTCTTTATCATGATAGTTCCTATAGGTCCAGTTTGTGAGAATTTGGTTTTCTTTATATTGAGTTGTAATCCATATTGAAGTTGAAATCATTGATTTTCATCACCAAGTGTTCCAGTCCTCCTCACGTTCAGCAAGCAAGGTTGTGTCATCTGCATTTTGTTAATAAACTTTGCTGCAATCTTGATGCTGCATTCTTAATCATATAATCCAACTTGATTATTTGCCTACAATAAATTTTGAATACGTATGATGAGAGATACAACCTTGACATACATCTTCCCTTATTTTCAACCAAGTTTATTCAGTTTACTTTAAATTTATAAAAAGAGACATTATTCTGGGCAAACCCTTCAATATAGAATTTAGTCTGAAATAGAAAACTTAGGCTATCCCTGAGCTCAGAGACTTCAAAATGGTGGGATTCTAGTTTACACTTTTGCTATAATCTTCTCTTCCTAATTAGCTGCACTACCATCTATGGACTTCCCTGAACAATTATAATTCAGTTGTATACTATATATTATATATCTTTTATACATATATTTAATCATATATATAAGGGGCTTCAAAAGTTCTTGGAAAAATGGAATTAAAAGCTCCCTAATATATGAATGTATATGTCTGTGTATCCATCCCTCAAACTAGATATACTTCACTGATTGAACCTTGACTTATAATGACTTATAGTTCAGAGACATTCTCAAACTACGGCCTGCGGGCCACATGTGGCCCGCCGAGGACATTTATCTGGCCTGCCGGGTGTTTTTGTCCCACTTGTTTTTTTACTTCAAAATAAGATATATGCAGTGTGCATAGGAATTTGTTCATAGTTTTTTTTAAAAACTATAGTCTGGCCCTCCAACAGGTCTGAGGGACAGTGAACTGAACCCCAGTTTAAAAAGTATGAGGACCCCTGGGCCGCCTTCAGACTCTTCTTTTTCCCCTGTATACCCAAGTATTGTGTATCTTGTTCTTTCAGGCTGAAGAATTTTCTTTAGCATTTCTGCTAGCAATGAATTCTCTTAGATCTTCTTTATCTGAAAATGACCTTCTGCTTCATTTCTAAAGTATCTTTTTGCTGGGTAAAAAATTCTGAATTAATGGTTGTTTTGTTTTAATTTCTCTTGCTCACTCAGCCCACTGACTTTTTACCTCCAAGTTTCCTGATGAGAAATCCCTTCTTTTTTGAATTGCTCCCTTTTATATGTTGATTTTTCTCTATTTTCAAGATTTCTTCTTTGGTGTTCAGTAGCTTGGTTATGATATATTTTGGGAGGATTTTCTTTAACCTTAGTCTATTTTCAGTTTTCTTCCCCCACAGGGGACCCTCCCTCCATTAGCTAGAGCTGAGGCGTCAAGTTTATTCAGCAATAGGGTTTTACAGCCATCTGGCCTACACACCTCCTGTTGATACATACACAATGAAATGGGCAATGTCTTAATCCTGAATATCCTGACTGTGAATTCCCCTTGACTATCCTTTATGGGAACACTTCATAGGAAGTATCAGGTATGTGAGAGACAAATGATGTGAATTGCTCCTTAAGAATATGAGACAAAGGATGCTGACCGCTTTTAGAGGGATAAGTATCCTTTAATGGCATATGTGAGGAGCCAGGAGTTTGTAGGAGACAATTATATATTGTCAAGGGGCGGATGTGGAGACATGCCCTTTCTGCAGAATATGCGCATCTGGGCACTATCCATTGTCTCAGGACAGTGGAGGTGTGCCTCACACTAGGATTGGCATGCCAAATCCTGTGGTCATGAGTACTGGAAGCAAACCCCATGCACTTCCTTCCAGGTCCTCAGTTTCCCCCAGAGCACCACGGAGGCTGACCAGTGAAGTCTGAAGTCTGGGATGGAAAGGGCTCCTACCAGAGAGCCCAGCCAGAGTGGCATCGGCAGCTGCAGTGCCTGCACTCGATGATCCGGCCCACTTCAAACTTGCTTTTGGGGACCCAGCCGATGCAGTTGATCCCAAAGTTGGTGTCCCAGGTCTGGATGCAGCTCAGACAACACAGGTTCTCAATGCTCTGCTTCTTCCACTTTGCAATCAGGTTCTTGTTGGCATAGCCCTCTTTGATGCGATACTCATAGCTCATGGCTCTCGTCTTATAAAAGAAGTCAAAGATACTGCGTGTGTTCTCATGGTGGATCCTGAAGGTGGGCCACAGGGACCTCCACTTCCTCTTTCCCTCATGGGGCTCCGTGTCCACTTCTCTCAGCTTCTGATCCATCTCATCAAAGCAACATTTAATCAACTCCAAGCCATCTGGAGGAGCTTTCTGGCTTCTGTTTACTTGAGGCATTACCAAAGCAGTCAAACACCTGACAATACCTCACTTTCCTTCAACCGCCACTTCTCTACTCTGGTTGAATTTTTTTTTCTTGATAATTTAGAAGAGTCTTTACTTGGTTATAGCCAGACTGCTGGAATCTAAAAGTGATTCTTTGATTGCAGTCCGCGTGTACATTTCAGTCCATCTTTAAAGCCAAAAACTCATTTATCATTTGTCTAGGAGAGTGGTTCTCCACCTTCCTAAGGCCGAGACCCTTTCATACAGTTCCTC